CTGTCTGGCATCTCTGCCCCCCTCACTTCCTCCGCTGACCTTCTGCTCCAGTGCAGCCTTTACCCAGAGTGGGTCTCATTCTTTGGCTAAGAATCCCTTTGGTTTTCCTTCCCCGGCTCAGAACTCTCAGTACAATCACAGATAACAAAGATTCTCCTCAAGCAGCAGCCTGTGGAGAAGCCTCTTTGGGCCCAGAAGCTGAGTGGGCTAAGGTCAGGTGAGAAGATGAAGGGCTGGACTGGGAAAAAGTCTGGAAGCAGCAAGAGTTGAGAATATTCCATAAAATATTCTGTAGATGTTCCATAAAATTGAAGGAGGTGACCTCAGCTGGCACCAGAGATCATCTTTCACCATGAAGATATTGGGGTCTCTTCTCCATGGCAAGTTGCCCATCTGTCACCTCAAGGCAGAGTTTCATAAGCACAACCTGCTAGTAGAGCAAAGGTCTCCACAGTCATCCTCAAAGTCAACAAAGATGTTTCTCTTCCTATCTGCCCATTGACCTGTAAACCAGTTAGTTACAACATTGTTTCTGTGTGGGGCATCTGATTTCATTTTGATCTCACTGGCAAAATTCCTTCGGTATTGTTCTGTACAACATCCATTTCTTTTAGAGTTTTAACTTTGGACCTCAATAGTTCATACTGGATATTTTCTTTCCTTTGATTACTTCCCATTGGTTTTCCAAAGTTTCCAGTGACAATTGTCAATGGAAGAGATAAAGAACATCCTTCACCATCCTTATTTTCCAGGCCATTCTTCATCTTTCTAACAAGAATTTATTCTACATTCCTCCTACAGATCCTTCATGCCAGCTCAAATGGAGGCTTCTTTTCAAAGACTTTCTTTGTCCTGTGTAACATTGCCCATTTTCTCTTCCATTCCAGCTTCATTCCTTCCTTTGAACCGCTCAGTTTTATAATAATTCCATCTATGGGGTGTATTTGGATGAGAATGGAGAGCTGGTAGCAGACCTGGACATTGTGAACACGGTGATTTTTTCCAATATGTCTCGTATGAAAGTGACACTTGGGAGTCTAGAAAGAGTGGGATCCTTGGATTTCAAGTTCATGATGAACCAGAATGCGATTGCAAAGATGGAAATGCTGAACAAGGTGGGGGAGAAGACTTTATTCTGCTCTTTCTGAAGATCTTTCCAAGAGGATTGCAGAATTGGGGAAGGGACGGACTTGGGATGTCATCTCAATTCTCGCAGAGAGGAAACATTATCCTGTTAGCTGTTCAAAGAAAAAAATGCTTAACAATTCCAGTTAACTGTTTATTAAACTTCTACAAGGAAGCTAGTTTTATATCACGGGACAAAGTGATTGATTTTGTCAAAGCATAAATCCATTCAACTTTCTTTTCAGTAGGAAAGGAATTTAAAATAAAATTGTACTGGGAGAAAAACTAGAAGAGAAGATAAATAGGCAAACAGCAAGCAACCAAATCAGTTTGAAGAGTTCCAAATTTCTTGTAGCCTTCGAATTTAGCAAAGCTAAACCTTGACTTGAAGATCCCCAAACTTTTCCTTTTGCCTGTTTTAGGAAATAATTCATGTTGTGGATGTTCTTTTTCCCCTCTCTCTGCCCAGCCCATGCCTTCTTCCAGGTGTGTGGAAAGCTGCCCTGCTGGGTTCATGAAGGTGGCTCAGGAAGGAAAGCCCATCTGCTGCTACAATTGTTGTCCATGTGCAGAAGGATCCATCTCCACCATGGAAGGTGGGTGACAGCAGGAGAAAGGGGCAGACTTTGGAGAGGACCATAGATCTCCATGAACATGCATTTTGAAAGATTTGGCCAGAATGGGTCCCACCTCTCGGAGTCTTGATCATGGCAAATATTTATGTCATAGTGAACCATTAGAAATGATATTGGGGATTAATGCGGCATATAGGTGAAGCAAGCAGGCATAGAGATCATGGATAAAGACACAGCATAAGTGAGGGTTGAGTAAGGTGAGGGAGATGACATCTCTTGCTCTTTATCTTTTTCAACACAACTTCCATGTTTCAAATTACTATTTACTTCATTGCTCTTTCTGGATACCAGAATATAATGATGGAACTTTGACTGGATTTTTATAGGTGGATTGATCAGATTCTTTGCACATGTCTATGTCTGATAGGTATTTTGGGCAGCCACAGTTTCAGGTTGCAGACACCTGCCTTTAATCAAAGGATGTATTTCTTTACAAAAGAAGTTTCATAGAATTTCTTGGCTATTCTCTTCATTCTAACTGATGTGGTGGATGGACTGGGCAGCCTTATGTAATAATCCTTTGACTGCTCCGTCTGTTCAGGTGATGCCTTTTTTGGTCAGGCTCTGATGACTGCTGGGTTTATACTTCCTGAGGCTGACATTGCAGAGACTCTGCTGGAGGCTCCTCTTAAAATAGTTTTCAGAATCATGGCCTATGGAGAGGAGAGGAGAGGAATCATGTGTTGGGACTGAGCCAAACTTCCTTCTTGATTTTATTGCAAGATGTTCCTCTTTCTGATAATAAAAAAATGAGGAATGTATTTTGATGTTTTGACTCCATATATCCTACTCATCTTCAAGGGTCACTCCTTGTAACATTTCTTTCTCCGTGGCAAAAGTAACGTTTATCCATTTCAGCTAGCACAAGCTACATTAAGCAATCCTTCACATGTAGTACATTCCACCTTAGACTGGATATCGTTGGTGCCTTAAAGCATTGACAAAAGGCTGGACTGCAGAGGTTCAGCAGTGAAAAGGTAAAATGGTGGAACTGCCTTGTTTCCTGGAATCCTTCCTTCTTACCTTCTTCTCTCTCAGCAAGTTCATTGATGAAATGGTAACACCAAAAAGAAGAGAAAATAAATATTTTCTAGCTGGAGGGAGATGGGGAATTATATTGAGTTCACCTCCACCCAGTTATTCACACAAAAAACAAGTTTACCCAAACAAAGCATTTTATTAAAGGACATGTTAAAGGGAGAAACTATTCTTGCTCTTTTTCAGATGCAGACAAATGTACCAAATGTCCAGAAGATCAACATCCAAACATCAATCGACTTCACTGTATCCCCAAGATTAAAAATTATCTTTCTTATAATGAAAATCTGGGGATTATCCTGATTTTCATTGCCTTGTTCTTCTCTTTAACCACAGGCTTTGGCTTGTGGATCTTCATTAAATTCATGGAAACACCAATTGTCAAAGCCAACAACCGTGACCTCTCCTATATTCTCCTGGTCTCCCTCCTGCTTTCCTTCTTGACTTCCTTTCTGTTCATTGGCCGGCCAAGGAGAGTGACCTGCCTCCTCCAGCAAACGGCCTTCAGCATTGTCTTCTCAGTTGCCATTTCTTCAGTCTTTGCCAAAACAATCACAGTTGTGTTAGCCTTCTTGGCCACAAAACCAGGGAATAAAGTGCAGAGATGGTTGGGGAAGAGCTTGGCCAACTCCATTGTCCTTTCTTGTTCTGGTCTCCAAGTTGTCATCTGCAGCATCTGGCTGGGCACTTTCCCCCCATTCCCTGACTCTGACATGCACTCCCAGCCTACAAAGATTATTCTACAATGCAATGAAGGCTCTGTCACCATGTTTTATGTTGCCCTCGGATACATGGGCTTCCTGTCTGCTGTCTGCTTCACGGTGGCTTTTCTGGCCAGGAATCTCCCTGGGGCCTTCAATGAAGCCAAGCTGATCTCCTTCAGTATGCTGGTCTTCTGCAGTGTCTGGGTGTCCTTTGTGCCAGCTTACCTGAGCACCAAGGGGAAGTACACTGTGGCTGTGCAGGTCTTCTCCATCTTGGCCTCCAGTGCTGGCCTGCTGGGCTGCATTTTCATCCCTAAGTGCTATATTATTATTTTTCGGTCAGATCTGAACATCAAAGAACATTTGATGTCAAAATAATATAGAAAAAAATGAATTTTACAAATTTATTTTTTAAAAATGACATTTAATAATTTTAATTAACACATTTTGACCATTTAATATTTGTTCATTTAACTTATATGCTTCCCCTCTTGCCTAAAGATGATTTTAGGCAGTTTACAATCAGTAAAAACAAGACAAAACAATAAAACATTCAAAGAATAAATAGTACCTCTAACATTAGTTTAAAATTGACAAAGATAGGAAGGAAGGGAGCAAGATGCCCATGGGGAGGAGGTATTCCTCTTACTTCTAAAGCTACCCACATTTATTTTCCTATGTATTCCTAAAGAAACCAGTAGCAATACACCCAGTCTCCTTTTTAGTCACAATACTGTTGGTAAAATCAGCTTCCAGATGGACGGGACAGTTTAGTAGGCAAATGGAGACACAACAAGGAATGCGGCCTTGCAACTCATAGCAACCTGTGGGAAGTTTTATCAGAATATTCCTGTAGCAATCCTTGAATCTAAAGATGCAAATATTTCTTCTAACTAAGAACATTTTTCTTTGCACATCTGTCAGAAGGGCAAGAAGTAACCTGAGATTGATTTTGCTATCATTTATGAATAGGTATATATATATGGATCATTTTCTTCCTTTTTGCATCATTTTCCCCTCCTTTCTGAAATGTATAAATATTTTTATAATTATTTAATAAACCAATAAGCCCAACTCATACATAGATCACACTGATGGCTTACAGCTTTAAACATAGCACACAAACTCATAAAAACACCATCACATTATAAGTGGGATGTAAGCATATGACGTGAATATATCTCTTTGTTTGAATGAATTTTATATTATTATTTCAGAGAAGACTCCATTCCCAGTACACACTGTTTAATAAACATTGCAGTGAGGTCTGATTCTTTGCTTTGGGTTCTTTGTTTTGATTCCAGAGAAACTGGTGTGAGAATTGTGGGATTCACAATTTTTGATCTGGGACCAGGGATGACAACAAGACATATGCATATGTTGTAGTGAGCTTGATCCCATGTCCTTTCCCGCTGACAAAAAAGGGCATAGTTACGAATCAGTTTAAGGGAACACTTTGTGTCTAAAAGTTTATTTTGCTATCACCATCACTTGAGCTTCAAAGTCCATTTGGCCTATGTCTTGGCTGTTCTTTGCCGGACTCATTCTGGCCATTTTCCCCTGAGTCTTCACAGCTCTTCCGGAAGCTACTGGACAGGCTGCAGGGGTTCAGGACCCCTTGAGGAAATTCTTCTAATCTAAAGGAGAGCTGGCGTAATGTGAAGAGAAAACTAGCCAAAGCAACAAGCAGATAAGAAGTGAGCTCCCCAGGGAACATTCCATGGTGGAGATAAAATGTGTCTAACCACCAAGTACCTAAAGTTGATGATTCCCTGTAAAAACAAGGCCCTAAGTACATAGGGTCTTCCCCGATCATGAAAATTATTCACCCAGGGACTGGAGAACTGAAACTGCCCAGAATGCTGGGTAAAGTGCACCCGGTATTTCACTTCAGCCTGATGAGGCCGGCTCAGGGATCGAAACTGAGTCCGGTTGGGAAAGAAGCACCTGGTCCAATAAGGGTGGAGGGGGAAAGACATTACAAGGTTAAGCAAATCATAGACTCTAGAATCCATAAGGGGAAACTACAGTATCTAATTCAGTGAAGAGGTTATTCAATAGAGGAATAAAACCTCATAAAATTGGAGCAGAAGACTTAATAAGTAGATTCCAGCCAAAATATCCTCAAAAGCCAGGAAACCTTTACATGGATAATTGAGGGGAGGGAATGCCTTAATACGTGTTTGCTCTTTTATTTATTTATTTATTTATTTTCAAATATTTATATGCCGCCCAATCCCAAAGGACTCAGGGCGGCGTACAGAGTTAAAACAATCATAAAACAATAAAATAAAACAGTCATACCGCGAGTCCGATCATATCCCGCCCCCCCGGGGACATCAGCCCCAGGCCTGCCGGAACAGGAGAGTTTTAACGGCTTTCTTAAAGGCCGGCAGGGTGGGAGTAGTTCGAAACTCAGGGGGAAGTTGATTCCAACAGGTCGGAGCCACCACAGAAAAGGCCCTTCCCCGAGGGCCCGCCAGCCGACATTGTCTGGCCGACGGGACCTGAAGGAGGCCCAATCTATGGGACCTCACCGGTCTCTGGGAGCTGTGCGGCAGAATGCGGTCCTGTAAGTAACGTGGCCCTATACCATGAAGGGCTTTGAAGGTGATAACCAACACCTTGAATTGCATCCGGAGACCCACAGGAAGCCAGTGCAGCTCGCGGAGGATAGGTGACACGTGGGCATACCTTGGCGCGCCCACAATCGCTCTCGCGGCTGCGTTCTGAACCAACTGCAGCCTCCGAACGCCCTTCAAGGGTAGCCCCATGTAGAGCGCGTTACAGTAATCCAGTCTTGAGGTGACAAGGGCATGAGTGACTGAGTAAAGCCTCCCGGTCCAAATAAGGCCGCAACTGGTGCACTAGGTGAACCTGTGCAAAGGTCCCCCTGGCCACAGACGATAGATGTTGTTCCAAATTTAGCTGTGAGTCCAGGAGGACACCCAAGTTGCGTGCCTGCACTGAGGGAGGTAAATTTGCCCCCCCCAGGACTAATGATGGATCATCCAGTTGGCCTTTGGGAGGCAAGACCCAGAGCCACTCGGTCTTGTCAGGGTTGAGTCTAAGCCTGTTCACCCCCATCCAGACCCTCACATCTTCCAGGCACCAGCACATCACGTCGACTGCTTCACTGAAAGGACATGGGGTGGAGATATATATGGGTATCATCTGCGTACTGATGATACCTCACCCCGTGTCGCCGAATGATCTCACCCAGCGGTTTCATGTAGATGTTAAAAAGGAGGGGGGACAGGACCGCACCCTGAGGCACCCCATGGTCGAGGCGCCTAGGGGTCGATCTCTGTCCACCCGCCAACACTGACTGCGACCTGTCAGAGAGGTAGGAGGAGAACCACCGCAATATGGTGTCGCCCACCCCCACCTCTCCGAGACGACAAAGAAGGATACCATGGTTGATGGTATCGAAAGCCGCTGAGAGGTCAAGAAGCACCAGGATAGAGGAATAACCCCTATCCCGGGCTCGCCAGAGTTCATCGGTCAGTGCGACCAAAGCAGTCTCAGTGCTGTAGTCGGGCCTGAAACCAGATTGAAAAGGGTCCAGATAATTAGTTTCATCCAAGGATCACAAGAGTTGAGACTCCACCACCTTCTCTACAACCTTCCCTACAAAGGGGAGGTTGGAGACGGGACGAAAGTTCTTCAAAACAGCTGGGTCCAGGGAAGGCTTCTTGAGGAGGGGCCTCACCACCACTTCCTTTAAAGGTTGCGGGAAAGACCCCTCCATCAAGGAGGCATTGATTATCTCCTGGAGCCAGCCTCGTATCACCTCCCTACTGGCAGAAACCAGCCAGGAGGGACACGGGTCCAATGAACAGGTGGCGGCATTCATTGCCCTCACGGCCTTGTCCACTTCATCAGGGGTCACAGGCTCAAACTCGCTCCAGATAACATGATTAAGACCAGCCCCTGGCAACTCGGCTGGCACTGCCCAGTCGGAGTCCAGGTCTCTCTGAATCTGAGCGATTTTGTCCGAAAGAAACTGAACAAACTCCTCGGCTCTCCCCTGCAAGGGTTCCTCCGCCTCCTCCACTTTAAGAAGGGAGCAGGTCACCCTAAACAAGGCGTCCGGGCGAGATTCTGCGGATGCAATAAGTGCGGAAAAGTGAACACGCTTTGCTGCCCTTATCGCCACTAAATAAGTCCTAAGATAGGCTCTTAATAGTGATCGGTCAGATTCAGAGTTACTGGCCCTCCAACGTCGCTCTAGACGTCTCTTGTGGCGCTTCATCTCCCGGAGCTCCTCAGTAAACCAAGGCGCCCTCCGGGGACCACCACCACAGAGAGGTCGCAAAGGCGCAATTCAATCCAGGGCCCCGGACGCCGCCTCATTCCAGGCCGCAACCAGGGACCCAGACGAGTTGTGGACAAGGGAGTCAGGTATTTCCCCAAGCTCCTCCTGGAACCGATCTGGGTCCATTAGGCACCTGGGGCGGAACCACCTAGTCGGCTCCCTCTCCCTGCGATGGGGGAGTGATGCTCTGAAGTCCAGCCTCAATAGGAAATGATCTGTCCATGACAAGGGCGAGATCTCTATTCCCCTTAATTCCAGATCATGTCTCCATTGCCCCGAGAGAAACACAAGGTCGAGTGTGTGACCACCCCTATGAGTTGGATCCTGAATTACCTGGGTCAGGTCCATGGTTGCCATGGAAGCCATGAACTCCTGCGCCGCCTCTGAGCGATCGCCGAGTGATGGTAGGTTAAAGTCCCCCAGTACTATAAGTCTGGGGAACTCCACCGCCAACCCGGCTACTGACTCCAGCAACGCAGGCAGGGCTGTTGCAACGCAGCTGGGAGGTAGGTACGTCAGCAGCAAGCCCAACTGAACCCATGAACCCAAATTCAATAGGAGGGACTCACACCCAACAACCTCCAGGGCAGGAATCCCATGAGGGCTCAAGGACTTCCGAGCGATGACTGCCACTCCCCCACCCCTGCCCTGATGTTGAGGCTGATGAAGCCCCACAAACTCGTCCGGGCACATCTCCGAGAGGGAAACACCCCCCTCAGGGCCCAGCTAGGTTTCGGTTATACATGCCAGGTCCGCCCCGCTGTCCAATATTAAATCACGGACAAGGGGGGCTTTGCTGACAACGGACCTGGCATTAAGCAACAGCAGCCTACAATTAGGCCCCTGTATTCCCCTGTCACCAGTACTACAGGATGAGCCTTTTGAGGGGCTGGAACAAGGAATCGCTCTAACATAGCGAGTCCTCGTTCCCCAAAGATGGCCTGCCCCTCGGCTCCCGCCATATCTGCCCATCCCAGTCATGACCGGGATGCTCCAACCTTCTCCCCTCCCCGGAGTACCCCCACCCTCACCAGCCTTCTCCCTTCCTGACCGGACTCGCTTTCCATACAGACCAAGCCCAAGGGTAAGTCCTGCCCCCCCCTACTTTTGCTATTGCACTCAGCAGAGGGGGTACCAGGCTCCATCCCCGACTCCACCATTCTCATACCCCAAACACTCAATACACATTCACACTCAATTTATATACATAGAAAATAAAAATATTCACATTCAAACACCCTAAATACAATAATAAAATTTATACATAACAGGGCCACCATTCATCTACATGCATATTCACACCCACAACAAACATTCTCTAAAAAATAGTATTGCCCCTCTGTGTCCCAGGCTGGTCCAATGTGGCCGGCTAGGTGATCATTAGGTACTTGTCTTGGGGCAGACCGTACTTGGCCTTATGGTCCTCAAAGAGTTGGGTCAACTTCTCCAAGTACCTCTCGTGCAGCTCATCAATGGCTTCTCCCGACATCCAACAATTGTGTAAAGTCAACCCAGCCACGGCGGGACGGCTAGTCAAACTGGGGCTCCTTAAAGCTGAGTTGATTTCAATTGCTGGGATCGCAGCCAGGAGTGGAGAACGTAACAACACCTCTGAGCATGTACAGAGTAGATTTCTAAGCCACAAGCTCGCCTCTCCCACTCCTTTCACGATGTGGCACTCGATGACGGGCCCGGACTCCTGGAAGAGGACACGCAACTCGCTGCTGGTGCAGGTGGCCGAGACGTTGCCCACAAAGGTCTTGACGGTGTGAGTGGGCCTCAGGCAGGAGAACTCCACGACCACGCGGTGGCAGTGCAAGAGGTGCCGATTGAGCTTCTGGATGGTGCGCTCGGCCGCTGCCTCGTCGCGCAGGTGGATGAAGGCGAACTGCTTCATGAGGGCCACCTTTACCACCACGCCCGGCACGGCTGCCTCGAAGAGGTCGCGCAGCTCCACCCGCGATGCCCCCCATGGGCACACCATCCACGAACACCTCCACGCCTGGCTGCACCAGGCCCACCTATCCCAAGGAGGCCCGGAGAGAAGGAAAGAAGCCAGACGATGCGGACCCACAAAATGGCGCCCGCGAAAGAGATGGGCCCCCCTCCGGCAACAGTCCTTCTGCCTCTTCTAACCTGGCAGGTAAGCTGGCTCCGAGGCTGCGGGGGAGAGGGCGGAAGAGAGGGCGAGCAACACTGGTACCTGGAAGGTACCTTTTCCAGGTACCTTCCAGTTTTTAGGAGCATCTGCTTGTCAAGTTTCGAAGCACCTTTTTTTTTCTTCCACAGATTTTGCTTCTCAGCTTGCCAATGAACCCAGGAGGGAGGAAGGAATCAGATTCGAATGCAGACTTCAAAGATTAAGGAAGCAGACCATGGGAACCCAGGACATTTACCAAATGTCTGGCCAAACCCAGAGATACTTTCTCAAAACAATATTGCTGCATTTGATTGGCCCCATGATCCAGAGTGAGGAGAGAAAATACTAAGCTTTCACTATGTAGGGCTTCGGTGGAGTTTTCCCAAAGCTTCTTTTGCTTTCATACATGTTGAAATGATGTAGTCAGTAAAGTTTTACATTAAGAGATTGGAATGTCTCAAAGGTGTTTGTTTGGGATCATCAGCCGGAATCTTGACACAGACCTTGGAGGACTTGAAATATCGATTCAGAAAGAATCATGAAGGAGACGAGGTTGAGAACCTCCTAACTAACTTTGAAGATACCTACCAAGCTTAAAGCAGTCCAAAGTTCAGGATAAGATTCATATGTGTCCTCTCTTAAAGGGCTGTTTAATCAAAATATTGGATAACCTATGCACTTAGGAAAAGAAGGGCTAGCAACAATTTAAAAACACAAATATTAATTATTAATTTCTTTTATTATTTGATGATTATGTTGGATTTTAATTTTATTAATCTAATTCTTTATTTCATTGGATTTTAAATAACCATAATAGTCAAACAGGCAAACTAAGCATATAAACCAAGAACAATTACAATCAATAATTAAATTTAAAGAACCCAAGAACCAATTACATTATTAGTTCCCTACTTTTATCATTAGATCATCCTTAGTATTAAGATCTGGTCTCAGGATGATAATGTAGCACTTGGGGAAGAAGATACAGCCCAAGAGTCCACCACCGGAGGCCAAGATGGAGAAAACCTGCACGGCCACCATGTATTTTCCTTTGGTGCTCAGGTAGGTGGGGAGGAAGGAAACCCAGACACTGCAGAAGACCAGCATGCTGAAGGTGATCAATTTGGCTTCATTGAAAGCTCCAGGCAGATTTCTGGCCAGGAAAGCCACAGTGAAGCAAATGGCAGCAAGGAAGCCCATGTAGCCAAGGACAATATAAAACATGGTGACAGAGCCTTCATTGCATTGAAGGATGATCTCTTTAGGCTGGGAGTGCAGATCAGAGTCAGGAAATGGGGGAGAAACTCCCAACCACATGACACAAATGAAAATTTGGATAACTGAACAAGAAAGGATGATGGAGTTGGCCAAGTTCTTCCCCAACCATCTTCTCATCCTGTTACCTGGTTTTGAGGCCAGGAAGACCAGCACAACCATGATAGTTTTGGCCAACACAGAAGACACGGCTACTGAGAAGACAATGCTGAACATTGTCTGTCGGAGAAGACAAGTGGCTTTTCTTGGTTGGCCAATGAAGAGAAAGGAGGACAAAAAGCAAAGCAGGAGGGAGATCAGGAGGATGAAGGAAAGGTCCCGGTTGTTGGCTTTGATGATGGGAGTTTCTAGGTATTGAAGGAATATGATGAAAACAAGGCCTGTGGTTAGGGACAAGAGTAGGGCAAAGGAGATGAGGATGATGCTCAGATGTTCTTCATAGGAGAGGAAGGTTATTCTTTTGGGGATACATTGGACTCGGCTCTTGGCTGGATATTGATCATCTGGGCACTTGGTGCATTTGACAGTATCTGAGAAAAGAAAGTAATATTTCTTTCATACTCTTTAAAATTTCAAGAAAACCTTTCGATTAGGTGATACTGAGAGAAGGAAAGTCTTAGTAATGCTATATTCTTACACTCCAGCAAAAAAATTCCCCAATATAAATAACTATTAAAACCAAAAACCACAAAAATAAAAGAGGAAATAATGGTGCCACAATCTCCCTTCTCTGAGGTAATCCACCAGATTCTTATCTTGCACTGACCTTACTTTATCCCAAATGGTTGGGAGAAGTACCAAGTCTCCAGAGGTTTAAGAGGATGGGGGCCTATTGAATTTCAAGGGGGTGTGGGTCCAATGGGGCAGGACCTGTACCAGAAAAAGCAGGTATCTAAGGACCCAGAAAGTGGGAATCTTTTAGGGAACATACGTGTCAATGCTGTTAATATAGGATATTATTGCTTTGACAAGATATACAGAACTGTCTGGTATTTTTAGAGTTAATTCAGATGACAGAGAAAGGGAGGAGATTTATAAAGAAAGCCCAGGAAAAGGAACGGAAGTAAATCTTTGCCCTCCGGGCTAATTGGAAGATGTGACTTATGATTGCAAAAAAGGGAGGGGTTTAGCAAGAAAAGTTAGATGCCAGCAAGAGAAATTCAGATTCTGGCAGCCATTCAATATGTGCCGAAAATGTGTCCATGATTACAGAATTTTTCAGAATAAATATGCCTGGAATTTCCTTGAAGTGTTCCATTAGTCGGAACGTTGACAATACGTTTTTCAATGCCAATTATTATCTGCTCTGGTGGGACAAGCAGATATCAAGGAGAGGAAGCCCTGCAGATACCCTGGTTCTTTCTCATGTAAGGTTTGAAAGGTGAATTTCGGCAAAAATAATCATTAGAGCACAGAAATTCACAGTATCTCCAAACTATGAGGCCTTTTTAATAATCCCTTAAAATATGACTCTTTCAACAGCCCTGGGGCTCTCCTGTGTGCTGGTTGCATGGCAGGTAGCATCTTGATCTTAAGGAAAATTAATTCATGAAGGAGTTCATAAAACAAAAATTGTGTCTGCAAAGTCTTTTTACCCTGTAGAAATGAGAAGATGAAGCAATATATTTCCATACTCTCTAGATTTGGCAAACAATTTTAAAGAGAGAATGAATTCAACATTGATATTTATTATTTATTTATTTATTTATGAGACTTATATACCGCTTTAAGTGCAAGCACTCTCTAAGCGGTGTACACCAGTAAGCAATGTATATATATATTTACATTGCCCCCAACAATCTGGGTCCTCATTTTACCTACCCCGGAAGGATGGAAGGCTGAGTCAACCTTGAGCCGGTGAGATTTGAACCGCTGACCTGCTGAACACAGTCAGCTAAAGTGGCCTGCAGTACTACACTCTAACTGCTGCGCCACCTCGGCTCATATCTATGGATGTTAAGTAGATTGATCTTTTATTAGTTCTCTTCTCTCCCCCCCCCTTTCTGTTCCTTTTAATCCCAACATAGTATGTATTTTTTTCCCTTTCAGAACCAGATCTGCATTCTTTTTTTTCCAGTTATAAATGTATTGCACTATTTAGCAACAAAGAAAAGGGGAAAGATAAGAAAAGGTGGAAAGGAAATATCCACAAAGATTTTATGGTGAAACCTCTGTTTGATTTTCATTTGCTTCTTGAAGCCAACATACAAAGTACATGTTAAAGGAAATAGAAAGCCTCAAACAGGAACAGGAAACAACCTAAAAAGCCCCAGAAGGTATAAAAACCCACCACTCCCAGCAACACGTGGTCAGCTTTCCCAGAGCCATGCTTCTGTCTGGCTCTTCTCTTCAATAAACTCCAACTTCTTTCTAAAGCAATCTCCATTTTGTTTATTCCCAGCTTGGACTGGATCTTGATGAAGATTTTTCTTTCAACAGATGTAAAATCATTTCTCAAGTTACAGAGAATACAGAGATTCCTAAGAAAGATAAACGTGGAAGGATACATCCAAACTGGCAAATAAAAGAGAGATTTCCTACGCAATCTATTATGTCCTGGGGTGGCAGATGCAGGCTGCAGCAATTGGCCTGGGCAGACCATGTGGATGCCCAGGACAAGAAAGGCTACTCATTTCTTTTCCGCGCATGGCAGGAAAAGATCCTTTGAAATGATTGGCCAGCAAGGTATTGTGCAGGAGGGCTATAAAAGGGGGCCGCACCATTTTAAAATCGGTTCGGTTGCTGTTTGCAATAAAGGAGAACTGTTGGAACTTGTTGCTTCGTCTCGATGCCTCTTCTTCTGAAACAGAACACAATCCACAACATCCTTCTTTCTACCTCATCGTTCAAGACATTTTTCTTATAAATCCCATTTAGAGAAGAAATTGGACACCATTAAAATAGAGAACTAAAAAATCAAACTTATGTGTGTCTTTAACATGCATATTGATCAAAGTTTCCCTGTGGTGTCACCCACCTTCCTGAGTGGAGATGGTCCCCTCTGGACAAGGAATGCAGTCATAGCAGCAAACTGGCTCTCCTTCTCGAGCCTGCTTGACAAATCCAGGAAGGCATTTATCCACACATTTAGACTGAGGCAGAGACTGAGCAGAGAAAGAAGAAATGCCAAAGAAAATATGTCAGGACTCACCATCCATGTAAGATGGAGGTAGAAATGAGCATCAGCCAAGTCGTCTCTGGACTTCATGTAGGCAAATATGAAATCTCTGACACCTTCCAAATGGTGGCAGGAGATACAATTGCAGGTAGATGCTTCATTCAGTTCCTCCCTTTTTCTTCTGACATATCAGATTATAATAAAGTAGCTTTCTACTTAACAAAGTCTGGAGGGATGAAACTGAGACAAGATTTAAACATTAAGTGGCAACTGGTGGGTTCCTCCTCATAGTGGAATTAACATGCATTCCTCCATTCTTCATAAATGCTTAATTTTAAAATATCCAGAAATACTAAATTTTAGAGTGATTTATTGAAATAGAATAAAACTGTGATGAAGAAAGCCACTTTTGACCAGTAAGATCTGGAAAGGTTTCTTCTGGAGTGCATAA